ATTCGTTCAGGGAAACTCGAAGAAGCAAAAGACAGGTGTGAGTTGGTGACTTTGGTTGTTGAGACATGGGGATTCGAAGAATCAGTGAAAGCCATACATGAGTTCATGAAGACGCTGCCTCGCAATGATGAATTTGTGACAGATCGACTAAAGCCATATGCGACACGGTTTGGCCTTGAGGGTTAGAGCATATCGCAGACTTTTCAATCATTTTGTAGACAGATCTCAGCATAAAAGCACTTTTTATTAACACTCAACAACAGATTACCAAAGTGTGGCAATATATCAAGCCTTGAATGACTGTTGTTTGGTTGTACTTCAACTGTAAATTTTAAGTATAGCCTACCTGTATATGTGGTTTTGTAATTGATTTTGTAAATTGATAATATAGATGTTCAGGTTGCTTAAATGTTCATACTGTATTTATTTATCTGATGCTTTAATCCAGAGTGAATATAAAAAATGAAGGAGGCAGTAACATGAGAAGTGCTGCAATTAAGTGTACTGTAATTATGACAATGAGTTGTTCCTGCCTGTTACTTGTTTATATGAGAATCATAAGTCCAATATTTCACAAATGAAGTTAAGAAATGTATAATATTTGTGACCCTGGACCACAAAACCAGTCTTAAGTCGCTGGGGTATATTTGGATGAAAGTGGAATCAACTGACAATAAGTGATGTCTAAGACTGATTCTTAAGTGTTGACTGAGGTGACACTGAAGTCTTGCAAACAAAGGACTACAATGATGTTGACCCAAAATGTCTGCCCTCGACTTCTGAGACAGCCAATAATGAGCCTGCTCATGTGAAGTCCCAGCAGCACAACACTAATCATTTAATGTAACGAAAATAAAATCAGTTAATTAAGACACTGAAATATTTTAATATGTAAAAGTTTTTTTTTTAAATGCTTTGCATTGTGCAAAATGATCACAAATTGTTACTGATGCTTTGAAATTGTTTTCTATTGGTATGTCTCCTCGTTTACAGTTGGAGCACTGATGTGAACATGAGTTCCATCAATGTCTCCAACAACTCCAGGAAAGCCCACAATCCTCATAAAAGTGGCTTGTTTTGCAGCATGGCTTGACGGTCAGTTGGAAAGTTGAAGAACTGCCATAGTTGTGACTTTGCTGCAGCCTGGAACTGAACTGCTGGTTTGGTCTGGCCAGAGGAGAACTGGCCCCCCGACTGAGCCTGGTTTCTCCCAAGGTTTTTTCTCCATTCTGTCACCGATGGAGTTATGGTTCCTTGCCGCTGTCGCCTCTGGCTTGCTTAGTCGGGGACACTTAATTTCCAGCGATATCATCGACTTGATTGCACAGATACTATTTAAACTGAACTGAGCTGAATGAAGACATCACTGAATTCAATGATGAACTGTCTTTAACTCAAAAATGAGTGTTTACTATTGTCATTTT